TTCCCTCGGACAACCTAGCATCTGCAGCGATGCTGCCTTCCTCACAAGGAAGGATAGGGCTTAGAAAAGGTCGACCTAAAAATGTTCCCACCTCACACCCAATCCTCACGAATTTCCGGTCTCCCTTGGGTAAGGGTGCCCACTAACGGGCGCTTTAACAGCGGAGCTAATCCTCTAAAAAACCCTTTAATAAAAGGCCGTGTGTGGGACCGGCCCTCAAGCAGTTGTCCCTTGGACTCTGCCGGTTCACGCTCTCAGGTCTCTAAGGACCGACAACTAATCTATTTTCATTGTGTGTCAAGGTCCCTCAAGAAACAACCTTCCACGGTGTGGGCAGCCGAGAAGTGACAATCGCCCTCTTACCCGCAACAGCACACGAGACCAAATTGGTCGAAATCAAATCCTTTAGTCAGTAGTCAGTAAAATAATAACTCAAAGCCATATACCCAAATACGGTCTAAGATTTTTGTCCAATAAGCGTCAACTACCTTGTTGATAAAATTACATCGTTCAAACACAAAGTTCGAAATTATTTAACTTGTGATTAATTTTATTAAGGTGAATTTCAAAATACTGACAATTAGTCATGTTTACTTTCATTTAACATCAAACTTTTAACTTACTGGTGTGCTTACATTTTGCTTTTATAATATATATATATTTGAAAAAAACACTTTCACATTAAATTCAATGAACAATCTTTAACATGTTTATTTAGATACAGTTAACATTCAGGGCAATGGTCATGGAATTTGAAATTGTTTGAAATGTAGCGTATGTTAGTATAAACTTGGTACTTTTATTTGTGTACGGTTAGAATGGGGAAATAAATAAGTTAACGATAATGTATTATTAGTTTCAGATTAGATATGAAATGAAATACAGTGTGATTCAACAATCGTAATTATCTGTCTACATCAATACTATAAACATTTTCATGAATTTAATATAAGTCAACTATTGAAGATACTAAAAACACGATATGTGTAACAAATTTCGAATCACAAAAATAAAAACTTGAAAAAAGATAGATCACTTAAACTGATCAATTATCGATTAAATATGAATATTATCATACCCTTAAGATTATAAATGATTATATGTTATGTGAATAGCTATTTGAATAGTTCATTCAGGAATTATTCCTTATCATTATCTCGTTTAATTCAGTCGAAACTGTTGGAATCTACTTACAGAAATATAGACTTTAACAGTGACTCTTATCAAACTACGTGCAGAGGATTTAAGCACATAATCTTAAGTTTTTGTTATTTGTTTTCTAAACTAAAAGAATCAGAAAGTGATTTCATCTTTTTGAATTTTTTTTTCTAAGCGCTGTAAAGTACGTCAGTGTAGAGGATTTACTTTGGTATTTGTCAGAAATCTTTTTATTGAATTAACTAAAAAGAGAAATAAATTTATGTAGATATGTCTTATTAATATGGACATATCTACATAAATTCATTTCTTTTTTTAGTTAACTCAATAAAAAGATTTCTGACAAACACCAAAGTAAATTCTCTACACTGACGTACTTTACAGCGCTTAAAAAAAAGATTCAAAAAGACGAAATCACTTTCTGATTCTTTTAGTTTAGAAAACAAATAACAAAAACTTAAGATTGTGTGCTTAAACCCTCTGCACGTAGTTCGATAATAGTCACTCTTAAAGTCTATATTTCTGTAAGCAGATTCAAACAGTTTCGACTGAATTAAATGAGATAATGATAAGGAATAATTCCTGAATGAACTATTGAAATAGCTATTCATATAACATATAATCATTTATAATCTTAAGGGTGTGATAATATTCATATTTAATCGATAATTGATCAGTTTAAGTGATCTATGTTTTTTCAAGTTTTTATTTTTGTGATTCGAAATTTGTTACACACGTCATGTTTTTAGTATCTTCAATAGTTGACTTATATTAAATTCATGAAAATGTTTATAGTATTGATGTAGACAGATAATTACGATTGTTCAATCATATTGTATTTCATATATCTTTTAAGACGATGAAAATAATCTAATCTGAAACTAATAATACATTGTCGTTAACTTATTTATTTCCCCATTCTAACTGTACACAAATAAAAGTACCAATTTTATACTAACATACACTACATTTCAAACAATTTCAAATTCTATGATCATTGCCCTGAATGCTAACTGTATCCAAATAAACATGGTAAAGATTGTTCATTGAATTTATCGTGAAAAAGTATTTTTTTTAAATATATATTATAAAAGCAAAATGTAAGCACACTAATAAGTTAAAAGTTTGATGTTAAATGAAAGTAAACATGACTAATTGTCAGTATTTTGAAATTCACCTTAATAAAATTGATCACAAGTTAAATAATTTGGAACTTTGTGATTGAACAATGTAATTTTATCAACAAGGTAGTTGACGCTTATTGGACAAAAATCTTAGACCGTTTTCTGGGTATGTAGTTTTGAGTTATTATTTTACTGACTACTGACTAAAGGATTTGAATTCGACCAATTTGGTCTCGTGTGCTGTTACGGGTAAGAGGGCGATTGTCACTTCGCGGCTGCCCACACCGTGGAAGGTTGATTCTTGAGGGACCTGAAAATGAAAATAGATTAGTGTCGGTCTTAGAGACCTGAGAGCGTGACCGCAGAGTCCAAGGGACAACTGCTTGAGGCCGGTCACACACGGCCTTTTTATAAAGGGTTTTTTGAGGATTAGCTCCGCTGTTAAAGGCCGTTAGTGGGCACCCTTACCCAAGGAGACGGAAATTCGTGAGGTTGGGTGAGGTGTGAGATTTTTAGGGTCGACCTTATCTAACCCTTTCTTCCTTGTGAGAAGGCAGCATCGCTGCAGATGCTGGTTGTCCAAGGGAAACACCTTACTGCTGTCACACCCCTGTGCAGTCAACAGTGTGACTTCGCCCTCAGACCTTGAGTAGCTGCTTTTAGTCTCATCGTTCTCCAATCGACCTCCCTGGCATGGTAGAACCTTCAGGACTATATGTTCGAGCCAATATAGCTCGTTTGGGTCATCACGATAGGCAAGCCTGACCACCGCGTCAAGGTAACAGCTACGGTCGGGTGTTCTCTCAAATCCTAATCTTCTGAATTCTTCAACCCCTCTAGTTTTGACTTTCTAAACTTTTCTCACTGAATCATATTTCTTGAATTTCTAATCCTAAACTCTCCGATTACTTCTAATACCTTTACTACCTCTTCTACTATTGGATTTGAATTGACAATTATATCTCTGTGCTGATGTGGTATGGCGACATGAACTGATGTACTTACGTACAAAGTTCTACGTTGTATCTGAGTGACTGACTGACTAAAAATTGATCTCAAAATAGTAAGAGAACTGAGACAAATGAAGTATCAATTAGTTAAAATTTAATATTACCAATTGTAGCACAAAAAAGTATGAACTTCTGGAATAATAATATTGAAACTGTGATCATTTTCAATAATGATAAAAATGATGCGTAATAAGACTATAATATATGAAGATGTTAACTAATATAATTAAGGTAATAATTTTTTTGCAAAGTATTGACGCACAAGTCTTTACAAATATGCGTGTGTATGCAAAAATCAAAAAAATCATGTTACACACAAAACTTCAAAATTATTACCTTCTGAAAGAATTTCAACAAAAACCTATTGCACCTATCATTTTATAATAAGCTCGTTAATTATAAATAAACTTATTGATTGAAAACAAAATATTATTATTAATAGTTGCTCCCGTAATGAACATCATCTCCGAGATGTAGATACATTCATCTAGAAGGTCCAAAATTGGACGCGTGCATCCTGGATTCCACTGCTAGCCACTATCAACCTCTGCTAATGATTTGAAAATTTTATGAATAGATCTTCACCATATCGAAATGACATCAAGGAGTATACTGTATAGCAAATCCATGTTATTTTGAAACTAAAGGTCGAAGCTAAATATCAGCTGGTAATGTTCGAAAACTAGTGTGGCCGAAATATCAGGATTGTATAAACAGGCGTTTACGAAGAAAAAGAAAGGTCCTAAATATAGAAAACAAATTAACCAAAGCAGAAATGAAACTAAGATCTTTTAGAGTGACTGAACTGTAGATTCTACGTACTAATCTACCTGATAGAAGAACAAGATTTGTCAGCGTCAGTGCAGCATTATTTTAAAATGGATATTATGTCTACCAGTGAGTTCAATCACGTTAATTTTAAAATTTTCAATCATAAGCTTTAATATGAAACATTTTATGAAATATTTTAATTCATCAAGTTGTCATGAAACATAAATGTCATAGATTGAGAAGGCTGAACAACCGACAGAATATGAACACGATGTTCTTGTTATTCGTAAATGCAGATGATGAAACAAAGTAAAAGAAGTAAAACACTATGAAGACATTAAGATAATTCCAATCAACGGACAAAAAGGAGGCAATACACTAATAACAGTCCTACTAGGTTCTGGTCATTGGCTATGTCAATCTTTATTGTTGGCCTTAGCTTTATCACAGTCACAAATGAATCGTTTTCTCACATCTCTTTGTAGTTGTAGCACATGTGGAACATCACAAAATACCGTTACTTTTCCAGGATACCAACCTTCATAGAATATTCCTCACGTGTATGAAAACAGAATGTTCTGTTTTATTATGTTTTACAATCAACAGTTTACTAAGGAACAATGAACAATCAAGTCAAGTTTAAATCTGGAGAGTCATTCGTACTCAAATTTTACAATAATCACACGTTGAAAAATAGCATACTGGCATCGAACTATAAAGTGATTTTCTAAACGTTTCTGCCTTTTCAAAATCTTTATTTAACTGTCTATTTTAAAGAAAATTACCTAAGTTATAAAACTAGTATTTTATGACCACAGACACTGAAACTTAAAAATATATCTTATTGCTATTTATCATCAATATTCCAGTTTAAAAGCATACTACCCTCATAATTTAGAACTTGAAAAATAGGTGTTGAAAATATTTTGCTTTACATTCAGATATCATCTACGAACAACACACATCATATGTAAAATATTCTCAAAACAGTTTAGATACTAAATAGCCAGATAATGTTGATATTCATATAGTTGAAGAACAACACTCTTGTAAAAAAGAAAAGGCTGTAGTGGTTAGAAGAAGACAATTATATCAATGAAAGCTGTGATCGGTGAAAAACATACTTCTATAATGTCTATCTAGGAGAACCGGAATACTCCAGTTACTTTGTGGTGGAACGTCTTACCACATACATTTATCTATTGGTTTCCACTCGTCGAAGTGCAACCACCAACAAAGTGAACTATCTATCATGCTTCACACTGCGGGGTTCGCAACTGATTAATTGTATTCTAAGAAAAAAATTTCAACTACGAAGGAACAAAGCTGTGTTACTTTGGATTAAGTGTTTTGTTAAACGGATATCACTTAAGAGGCACACTTACGATCCTATTATAAAATCAAAAGAAAAGCTATTCTTCAGCTTACTCATCTTCTGTTAGGATGTTAGCCCCTAGATACACTCATCTGATCAACAGTAACAATGAACGCAAAAGTTTTCATTATTGATGGAGTCATATAAACTTTTTCTGCAGTAGTAGAAGATAAAAACCCGTAGAAATAAAATCCAACAATAAACATGCTTTATCAGAAACAATTACTTTTGATTACGAGAAGATTAGGTTGAAAATAGAGATGGATAATAATAATTTCTAGATGCATTACGTGGTTTAACAAAGATATTGTTTGAGACACGAATTAAGTGTCATAACCGGTCTAACTTACAGCTATAATATGCTTGTGGTAACTGATCAGTATGTAAATAATCGAAATTGTCCAGACTGGCTAACATTTTGTTGAGTTCACGAACACTTCTCGGTTGTGGTAGATTCGAATGATCACCGTTCCTATCAACAGCTTGTTTCGTTTTAATTTGAGGTTGTCGAGATTTATTAGGGTCCAGTTCGTACTGCTGATCGATTTTCGTAACATAAGCCGGAGAACTACCACAGTCGGAGGGTAAATTTAGAGCATTATTTTTCTGCAATATTTTCTGATTTGTTTGATGCAACTCATTCAAAAGATTGTCTGAAAAAAGTCAAGCATTTGAAAACAATCCATAATCTCATATTCTTTATTAAAAATAACCCTAACAAAGCCAACTAAAACTAACCAAGTTCATCCATTTACGAACAATGCGGGGCGATGTTATTGCGAACGTCCTTTATACAGCCTACTTCATCATCGGTTATAACAAGACAGTGGAGTTTTCTAAAACCAAAAGTTCAGATGGAATAGTCACTATCAATGATTTGGAATAAAACAGATCTAAATAAGAAGGGACAGAATTTGAGATGACTTTTACTGCTGAGCTATATAAAAAAGGTAGTAGAAATTTTCCACAACTAAATAATTTCTAAAATTTTTAGTTTTGGTTCAGGAAATACTTAAGACTAGGAGGCTCATATTATTCCCTATATTTCTGCTTTCTCAGATGAGCCCACTTTCTTTGGAATGCGTCTACAGACTGGTCTTCAATGATGTATCGAACTGACGAGCTCAATGAGTTGATTATTTGAAGTGTAAACTAATAGTCGAATCACATGTGACCTTTTGAACAACTCAACAGTATTTTTTCAAACTGCTGGCCTCAAGTATGCAATATTGTAGTTTGTGGCTAACGAACGCTTACTGAAATGTGAAAACGTTTTAAGCTTCTAGTGAAAGCAATTTCATGAAGAGAGAGCGATTAGTTTAAAAGAAACATTCATTATCATAACCAATTTTACCAGTGATTCTTAAACTGTAGTTTTGTTTATTACACTCTTTACGCTCAAACTTTGTGTATGTGCTGCTGCTATTTCCGCTCAGTTGATTCGTAAATTCGCACCACTTTCCCGGTTTGATTTCGGTGTTCTTTCGACAACATGAGATCGCCAGCAAATGTATTAATTACCACGGATTTGCTTATCTTTTCAGTGACGGGTTCGTAATAAGTATTTAGTGGTGATCACAGTCAATTTCGACTCGGTCGCCACTAAAAGCTAAAGGTTTTATGTAAAAACGAAAATGTTTTACAACTTTTTGTGGCTATCACGCAATGTGCAGTATTTTCAAGTTCTAAATAACGATGATCCTCATGTCATTGTATGTCTGGATAGCAGGAAATGAACATTAATCATCTTTTTATCATCTGTATCTAGGTGACAAATGTTCATTTATCGTTCTCTGTCGAACTATAAATCATTTGTATAATGCTAACAGGTCATTTAAAGGCTGTTAATTGTCACCTGTTTTCAGTATCCACATTCTGTTATCGTTAACATATAGAGAATCGACAATTAGAGGAGACGATGAAGCTAGAATACCTATAGATGCGAGAGAAACTGTATCCTAAGGCATTCCACTAAAGACTTGTTCAGCCAGACAACCTGAGGTTGAATCGCAAATCATCGAGTCTTAACTGGAATATCACTTACCCTAAAAAAATAAAATACATCTAATCCAGATGTAAATTAACCTCAGTTACAGTCTATTTTCTGAAATGGTGTAAAAAGCCTTTCTATAGTCAATGAAGGCTACATCTAAAGACTCCTTTTGATGCTTTAGAATACCAAACATTTTTAAAGTGACCATTATACCTGTTTGAGATTAATATCTTGTCTTAATTCCGTGCTACTTTTTAGAAGCAAGCAGGTTTTCTATTAGAGAAACCTCGAGATAATTTTTTATAGAGTCTGAGCAACCGCACTGACAGATCCTACAGGATGATAATCTTAAAATGTTGTACGGTACTAAATTTGTCTTACAATAGCTTAGGTTACAGGTTAACATGGGGAGTTTGTGGTACAACTGGTCAATTCTTTCAGTAATCCAGGATGAACTTCATAAGGTCCCATAAATTTACTTGTACCTTTCTAGTGCTGAACTACCACAACGAACCTTCGTCCACAGAATCTTCTATTCTTTCTTAAAGTGGAAGCGTCGTATTTTCAAGATTATTTTCATCAGATCCTACAAAGAAGGATATAAACTTTTTTACTTGATCATGGGAATGACTTCCGATAATTAACTGGTTTAGTTCAAGGAACGTGGGGTGCACCGACTTTTATGTAGATATTTGTAGACACCCCTAAAACCGCTAAACAAACGATTCCTTATAACAGACCCTTAGCGATATGACTTCAAAGTCAATTCCTTCAGCTAGGTGAACAAATTTCACTAATACAGTTACATCTGAGAAGTCAGTAAAAATATGTTGTTCTAATAGTAATTACTACAAAGATTACGATAAACCTTCAACTGGCGATAAATCCTCTAAACAGCCAACCAGAAGTTTGAACTGAAAGTGATTGATGCCAAAGCTGCATATAAACATGTTAGGTCTGACAGAAACATATCACCGGAAACTCAAAAAAATCGTAATATTTCGGATGACATTTGACAGTTCAACATTTTGAGATCCCGCTATCGTAAACACTAATACCAGGTAGAGCTTAAAAACGGGAACATGCCCGGATATACTGGGAGATAAAAAATTCACTAGCATAAAAATTATATGCTCTTGACACAAAACAAGCTGTAAATTCTTAGAAGTCGATTCGAAACTATCACAAACCATTTCGATTGATGGTGTTTCTTCTGGTATCCCGGAAATCTGTGGTTAAATGTTTCATTTTCAGGCTATATATTAAGCGTCATAATAGTAAAACCATTACTTACCCTACATTGCACTTAACAGACACCATACAACACAACTTTAACGAAGAAAATGCGACTGCTTGAATAGAAATATTCATCAAATGTTCTAGTGATCGTTTAAGTGAATTTCTTGTGTACGCGCACTTTCGGCTTGCTTAGTAGCCATCTTGCTTTCGGAGCTCTGTAACTTCGCCTATTTTCTCTGGCACGATTTCAGTCTTCTTTCTACGCAATGAAATCACCGGCAAATATACACCTCCATCTGGATTATCTCTGCATCAATGTTTCTGGTTTACAACGACATAGCGCGTTAAGACTGGAGAGTAATCGGCTTGTAGTGGTATTCATAGTCCACCTACACTCGACCCACTTTATTTGGTGATCTAGAATCCGGACAATCATCAAAATTCCGTGAGCTGACACGTCTTCACGAAACAAATAATGACAGTCAGTCCTTTATCCATCTATCACAATTTTTTCGGATTTATCATATCGAGATGTTTTAATATGTTATGCTTGCAGTGACCTTTCGAAATGATGGATAGCCATAGGAATGCTGATTATATAATCGACTCCAAATCGCAGGTCATCGCATTTTCATCAGACTCCTTTCCTGCACATCAGGTTGGTCGTTCATTTTACGTGCATAAGTTTTGCACTAACTCCAGGCACGTAGTAGCCACAGGTGCCCAAGTTTCTGTAGTACCGTCTGGTAGCAGCAAGTCTCAGGCTACAGTGCTTCCACCACGCGCTACGATTGGCCGAAGTCATTCCTACCTACGGTACACAACATCTAGTAATTAACCTGAATAATAGACGACAGTATCTGTAGACGTTCACCCCTGCTGATGTTCCCATGGTCGTACTCATTATCGATTTACGACAACACTACGAACAGCTAATCGATTAATGTAGACTGCATTTATTCGATATTTCGTCGAATATTTAGTACAAGGATTTAACGCTCCAACGAATCACTTATGTATATTTTTGCCTGATTCTTTATTTTATGTTATATTTGATAAATACCCCATAGTAACTAATCCAAGGAGTTTCTATCGGCGATTAATTATGTGGTAAGCCACATCGTCGCCTGCAGACCCCTGGTCATGTCAATCGGCGTGAGTTTGACAGTTTACTTGCGATATGTATTATTTCGTCTTTTTCACAGTCCCTAAGCCTGCCCTTTGCCTCTCGGTTCGCAAAATAGTTGGCATTAGTTGGAGACCGTCCGGCGATTTCAGAGCACTGACGGCAGAAATTCAGTGTTCCACCTCGAAACGGCACGACATTACATCTAACCGAGGAACTTTTCACACCAGGAAGCAGCGATATTTTGTGTAGCGGATAACGTCTAACGACCATCTGCATGTATGCGGACACTGCGTCTGGTGATTACTCGAGCACGGAATCTATACATCGCTTACTCACGACAGTTAGTAACCTGTTCTAATGTTAGCGGTCAGCGTACGGGCGATTGTAGGACGGAAAGGCTGACCGACGGAAAGCGATCAATGAAGCTAAGTTTGTCATCGAAAGTCGTTTACGTTGAACTGTACCAACAGTACCGTGCCAAGATTATTGCTCGGGTTGGCTGAAGTTTGTGTTCGTAGGAGTTGAGACCAGACAACGCTGCAGACAGTGGATGGAACCATATTGAGCGAGGGAGCCAGAAACGACAAGAACGACCAAATTTGAAAATATACGTGTGCCGGACACATTCGGAACAAGAACATCGACTGAGTGCATTGAAAAGAGCGTGGGTGATCAGGCCAGCTTTCTCCAAGATTGATTGAAGTAACAGTACGAACAGGGCGGTGGTCGTAGAGATGGGTTCAGGATACAAAATGAAAGGAGAAGATAAAATCGTAGCATACGTGTTGTACGAGGATGGGGTACTATCACGTATCTGTTGTTGACAGGGTGGTTATTCGAGAAAACGTACAGGTCGGCGTGCGCATCGACCGGAACGCGATAAGGTAGTCTTGTGCGTACTTCGTGAGCTGTCGATCTAATCCGAAGTCAAGGGCGGCCTGGTCTTCTGATCTGAACGTAAGACCGGAGTCTCATCCGCAGCTAGTGCAGATGACGCGTGCTGTTGACTGGGACGTGAGAATGAGGTCTCTGAGTTGTCTAGCGTGGGGTGCAAAGTAGCTTTACGTATCACGCCAGTAGGTTTGATAGGTCTAGCATTGGGTCTCGGATCAGAAAGTAGGGCACTGTCATCGACGTGTGCTAGCTTGAGACGATCAATGCTGACTACCTCGACGCGGCCATGTCGAGCAACCCTGAAGGTCTTTTCATGACGAGAAACCAAGTGAAAAGTTACCTCGTAAGACTGTTGCATAGGTTTGCGTACCGTAGTGTGAAAATATCCCCAGGCAAATGCAGTGTTGTGCTGTATACCATTTCGCCGTTGGAACTTTGAATATCTGCTTTTAAGTTCCTTCCGATACCTAAGAGGACGAGCGGTGAGGTTTCGTACCATTAGTTGTCTTCGTGTGCTCGAAGAGCACTTTTAAGTTAGTGATAAAACCGATCAACTAAACATTTCGAAGCTGAGTGGTAGGCTTTAGTGCAATGCGCTCCGTACCAAGTAGCCGGGTTAGCAAGGAGAATAAACCGGACCCGAACTGTTGCCCTCGGTCAGTTTTGACAGTCGAGGGACAACCGCACAGTGCTATTCATCGTTTAACGAAGCACTGAGCAACTGTATCCGTCGTAATAGAAGTGATGGGAATAGCTTTCGGCCATACAGTGAAACGATCGATGCACGTGAGTATGTGGTTACACACATGCGATGGTGGCAATGGTCATACGATGTCAATATGAACATGATCGAAGCAAGCATCAGGCGTAGCAAATGTGTCGATAGGGACGGCTTTGTGTCTGTGCAGTCATTGTTAACATTGCTTTACCCACATACGGAAATCTTTATTTATGGACAGCCAGACGTTTCGTAGATTGATGAGACCTTAAGTTGCTGCAAAAGCTGGATGAGACAATACACGGAGGGCTTCGAGGATGAAGAAGATTAAGCACCGGTAATGTAACTGCATTTACTTGAATATGTCAGAGAGCATCGGCAACATAGTTCGACTCGCCTTCAATATGACGAACGTCTGTCGTGAACTGAGATATATTATCCAAATGTCTGGACTCTCATGGTGAGTTGCAGTCAGACGTGGTATGCAAAGAATGCGGCAGAGGCTTATGGTCGGTGAAAAGGATAAGATTACGACCTTCTACTGAGTGTCGGAAATGTTTGATGGCACAGTAGGCTTCTAGCAGTTCGCGGCCAAAAGCGATATATCTTGTCTCAGTGGGAGTAAGGCGCCGTGAGAAAAATTCGAGAGGTTTTCAACGTCCAGAGATGTTCTGTTACATTGCGGCTCCCATACTGAAATCTGATGCATCAACCTCTATACTAAGTGTGGCTGATGGGTCAGGATGAGCAAGGAGTGTGGCTTGAGCCGAGGCTGTTTCAAACTCTCAAAATGCAGTAGGCGTGGCATCGTTCAATTCCAGTTAACGTGGATTACCTTGAAGTAAGTCAGTAAATGGTCGTAACCATTCTGTCGCGTGTGGAATGAAATGTCGGTCGAAGTTAACTAAACCAAGCAATGCCTCCAGTTCCTTGAGTGTTGACTGCACAGTGTACTCCATAATCGCACGTGCTTTTTCTCCACAACGTAAAATACCCTCTTGCTAAACACGATTGTCAAGTTCACGCTTGTCCGAGTTGACTATTATTCCATTATCCAATAAATGTTGGAATAAGAGTATTAGATGCCGATAATGTTCATCTTCGTCTGATGATGCAAATAGCAGGTTATCAATACAGACGCGAAAAAAATCTGAGGCTCGTACTATGCTATCTATAAACCTTTGGAAAGTTTGAGCAGCATCTCGTTATCCAAATTGCATTCGTGGGAAACCAAGCAGACCCAAACGAGTGGTGATATCATTTTTCTCGATAACTTCAAAAGCAGCTCGGATGTGATGATTTGCTCGTGTCAGATCGATCGTAGAAATGATAGTCTTGCCCTTGACTTATTCCGTGATGTCTTTTATGTGGGGGTAGGATAGCTGTTGAGACGCGTGGCTACGTTTAGTGATCGGTAGTCGCCGCACGGTATCCAACTTATCCCATCGTTTTTGGGGACCAGGTGGAGTGGTGATGCAAAGTCGACCAAACTCAGGTGATGGGAAGGAGAGAGGTCAAAATGCAATGATCTGCACCTAGAATTTTATTATAATATAGCTTTTCACCATTTCAGAACGTTGTTGCAAGTATAATATAAATTAGACGATATCGTTATGATATAGGTAACATGTAAAATAATAGGGATAGATGAATTGTAGTGTCTCCATGTACATTTGGGTTCGTCCATATTTAATTTGGTTAATCCTTTTGATTAACTTATTTAACCAAGCCATTCGTATAGCAACAACTTATATGTACTATTGTCTGGTTTGTATGAGCTGGTATTCCTGAACACTACTTATCGCATACGCGAATGTTCCTCCTACTTGCGTTACTGTTAACCTCCTCAATATCTCAATGAATCAGACATTTTTTTGTATATATATACATCATAATTTTAATAAATAATTCGCCAATTCGCTTGCTCGCTAGCATGCTTGCGCTTCTTTGTGTGCTTGTGGTCTGCCAGTCCATTTGTGGCGTGCTAAAATAAACGTATTCAACACTTCGTATTCACCTTCTGATTTTTAAACCTCTGGACGACATCCGGGAATGATTGTCTGGACAAATTAAGAAGTCTTAGAACACGTTGATTACCGACCACCAAGAAACTAGTGATACATTTACCACCATAGTTTAATAGACTCACGGTTACAAGCATTTTTTCCTGTGAAAAAATGTCGGCAGTTGTTGTGGTGTGTCCGAAGTCAGGGTTTCCAATTTATAAGGGGCGAGTCGCCATTGACTATGATCATCGACAAAGACTAATTACGTTCCAGTTACCAGGTAAAATCCCTCCCTGAAATCAAAACGAGGAAAGAGGTTGGATGCAGGGATGAAAGGTATATTTTTTGTAGATCTCGTTGTATCTAAAGGATACCGAGATCGAACTAAAGGATACAGGCAAAACTACCGCTTGGACGATAGGCAAGATGAAGGCGACAAAGACGGAAAGTGGGTGTGTCCAGTACAGATAAACAAAACATACAGTAAAACAATGACTGATACGGTTCGCTATAATAATAAATGTTTCTAATTAACCACGTTCAATTTATAAAAATGGAGCCACTATAAAAAAAAGAAGACCAGTCTACACTTACTTTTGGATAAAAGTGAGACTTCTTTAAAGCATGCGTTACTATCAGCTGATAATCTAAGGTAGTAAAGAAAGCCTGTTCTATTCTTAACCATCTGTTCGATTTTAATCACCTACTTCATTCTCTGCCTTTTACTTATGTTTTATGTAGGCGCTTTACTATGCTTTTACAATCCATGTATATAACGTGTTGTGTTACGCATAATGTTACCTATTGGGTTAGCGAGTATACACTTTCACTTTCACCCATAATTATCATTCACCATTTATAACACTTCTTGGAAAGTTCTTGTTTTAATTTAGAACATACTGCGTGTTAAGGATTTACCAAGATGACAGTACTTTAGTGAAAATTATTTAATATGAATAATTTCAAAACAGCTGTTGCAGTTCTCATAAAGTACAACCCTTGTTGCAGTATTTGAGTAATTATTGTGCATGTAGCACATGTTCTATGTTTGTATTTGCGTGACCACTTTTTATGTACTTTGACTGCACGTATTTACTGTTTTTAATGCGGATTAAACTATGTTTGGATTATAAGAGTTATTTTCCCTCCTAAAAATTAATTCATGCCACCAAAAAAGGATACCAATTTAGTACTGTAAATAATTTTTGTGTTCATCGAGTCATTTGATTGCACTAATAATTAACTCAACAGACAGTTAATTTATGCAGTAACCTGCGCTAAATGGTCTCAACTAATAAGCATCCACTGTGATATCGTATACCTGTATAACTTAGTTGTTTTTATATCCAGGAGATCTAATCTATTTCAAACGTTTTCTCAGTATGAATATTTCAGACAACTATTGTGTAAACAGCTTATTAACAGCTTCTCATCACACTAAGTTTGATTTGGAGCCGTCATAAATCTTAAAGATATTTTGATTTGTGTTGTATTTTCTATAAGGTTTTCTTTCTGAGGCTCACACTTCTAATTCCTTAGCGAGATTTAACTTTTTGTATGATTTCACGTTGTGTGAGCATAATTGTATAGCAATGTGTGACTGGTCACTTTTACAAAAAATGTTATTCATTTTACCTTTAAGATACCAATGTAACTGTTTACGTGGCATAAATGCATTTTCAAGTTATGAGACAACTCCAAGACCCAATAAAAAATCCTTTGTTGATCGGTCAGCAACAAATTTATCCCACAGGTTCAAATAACCTATTGAGGCTTGCACGCTGTTCATGGATCGAACCTGTGGAAATGTGTAATTTTGTCGGAGTAGATACGAATACAGAAACGAATTCCAAGGGTAAGCAGATACTATTTTCATTAGGATTTATCTCTAATTTTTGTTTATTGACAAAATTACGCTTCTGATTCTTTGTTATTGTCTTGCATCAATTCTGTTTGAAAGTGTTGGTGACAAGAAACCCATGGTTCATAATCGTAATGCATCTCACCCATTTACTGATTTATCATCCGAAAATTCAGAGTTTTATATACTATTATACAATATTTTATCTGCATAATCAAAAGACATCACTAATAATCAAGAAGTTTTTTTAGAAATGAGTCAATCAGTCACTTACAACGTAGAACTTCGTATGTAAGTACATCAGTTCATTTTGCCATACCACATTAGCACAAAGATGCAATTGTCAATTCAAATCCCATAGTATTAGAGATAGTAGAAGTATTACTGGTAATAGAGAAGATTAGGATTTGAAGATATTATTCAAGAAGTATAATTCAGTGAGATAAGTTTGGAAAGACAAAGGTAGAGGTGTTGAAGAATCCAGAAGTTTAGAATTTGAGAGAACACAAAGAGTGAATGCACCTGCGCCAATGCTAACGATCTTGAGTCTTGTCATTCAAGGTCTCTTACAATCGGTGACTTTCGTCTCGAGGACCCCATCCAGGTAGTCTACATCTGTCAACATGACACAGTCCACCTGTCAGTGACTTCATGGATTTCTGTCACGTTTTGGTCTGGCCGCCTCTAAATTTCTTCCAACCTATTCCTACACTAAAAAACATAGCTTGTCGAAGCAGTCGGTGGTTAGGCATTCGTAACACATGTCCCAACCACCTCAACTGATGAAGTTTCAATACTTCATCAATTGATCCTCCATCCTTACCTAGTACTCGTTTCCTAATGGCAGCATTGCTTACTCGGTTTTCCCATGATACACGAGCAATGCTTCTAAGACATCGATGATCGAATACTAGTAACCTATGAATATATTCTACTCTTAATGGCCATGTTTCGCATCTTTAAAGTAGGATAGAGCGAACTAATGTGCACTAGACTCGTCCTTTGGTTAGCGCACGGATATCTCGTCTACGCCACAAGTGACGCAAGTTGTCAAGAGCCAATCGAGCTTTCTGTATCCGTGCTGAGATTTAGTCAGTCACCAGACCATCAGCGCTGACGAAACTCCCGAGATAAGTGAAGCGGTCTACACACTCAACTGCTTCACTCCCTATCACTAGTTCAGGTACCGATGCAAGCCAATCTTGAAACAACATTTTGCATTTCGAGGGTGAGAACCGCATCCCGAACATGCTTGCAGGTGGTCAGAAGACTCTGCATTTTGTCAGCGTCTTCATCAAGTAGAAATGAAGAAAATCTCCACAACCTAACAACTACAGTTAATGTGTGCCCACATTCGACTAGCTTCGTGATGAAATTCTCGGAGTTCTAATCAGAAGTGGTGATCAATGGAGTTCAACCTTGTCAGGTGTGAGGCATTTACCTGCTGAAGACTTCGGATGAATTCTTGCAATATCATTGATTGGTTGAGTTCAAAAAATAAACCAACAGGTGTGTCGGTTTAGTGCACACTGCTGAGGAGTTCAGTACTAGAACGAAAAGTTCGTCCAGTGTTTCAAGGTTTCTAATTGGGGTTCACTATTGATAGATCTGTGATTTCAATGAAAGCTATTGAATTGATCGTTTACGTGGGTGTTTTGTGGAGATTAACTCAATTTGAAAACAGCTAACAAACGTTGAAAACCAGAGAGGATTAAAAAGCTGTTTTTTGATTTTGAACTCCTTGACAATCTGTGTCCATGATCTCACACTGAAGTTAAAAACGTCAACTTTTGCATTCCGACTCAATCGTCTAGTTACTAGATATACTGTTCGATATTAAAATAGTGGGTTAGATTATGTACAATATGGTCGTTATGTTTAACTATACAAGTTTATTCTTGAGAGGCAGAATACTCTCTTGTACTACTTGGTACATTACGGCTTCTTGTCTGATTTTAGCCCATAGTTCAAACTATCTCTAGATTAATCCTGTTTGGTTAATCTTCTTGTCTATTTTATCTTGTGATTGCTTCTCTTATATTATCATATGTTATCATGTTTCTGCTGCCAAAACGTATGCCTTTCGAGATGTTAACACGTCGATGTTTGTCACTGAAATTGGAGCCAGTTGATTGTTATGTGAAAGTATATAAAGGTGAATGAGGATAATGGTCCATTACAGTTGCTTTGCTTGCCCGTCCTATATACTCTATTTGCGAAACACATCTTTGGGAAAATATTATCAATCATGATTAATAATGCAGATTAATGATTAAACTTCGTAGTATTCCAGGAGAATGCTTTTTAAGATGACAAACTGTGTTTTTTGTTATTTTCTCAAACACAAAAACCCTCTAAGTGACATCTTTTGGTTATAAAATAAGATTTAAATACTCAACCTACTTGTTTAAATACTTCACTTTCAGACAAAAATTGCACTAATCACTTTATCGAATACTGTATGTTGGTAACACTAAAGAGTTTTTAGCGGAAATATACAATACCATGATTCAGAAAATATTAAATTGTATTCCAACAGTGCTAACATACCGTTTATCTTCAACCATCTCCAAACAATAAATATGTAGTGTATTCTTTCATTCTTCTATTAGCTAAACAGGAACAAAAATGCAGTACAAAAAGATGTCGAAATCGGATGGAATATATGTATGAAGACAGCTTGCGAAGTATGTACACATAATCTTCAATCATCGATTTTTGATCCAGGCAACTTATTAACTGTCTCCTCTCACATCTCTGCTGGTTTTCAGAATACATTTCGATTTCCAAACACTCCTCTCTCTAAAAGCAACTTCTTAGCGAGACTCCACTGCACATACCACTTTGTGAGTAGTATCTACCGCACTACGTGTTTCACCTTGTACTTAACATTGAGGAAGCCCACGAGCACATTATGTAGTTTACATACACAGTAGTTTCTCTGAAACAGATTGTTTCACAGCTTTAGAATAAATGTCTTAACATTTTAAACAGGTCACTGTTTAAACTGTAATCCGCGAGTTAGGTTTTTTGACAAGCAACTTATATTGTTAAATCTTTTTCAATAATTGTAACCTATCATAATTCATTGCTTAGGTTCGTGTATGGTTGTTAGTTTTAATGTTTCATTTAGCTTGATAAAAAAATATGCTGTCGTATTGTTATTTTCAATTAAAACTCACAAATAAATAATTTTACATTAGATTTACATCAATCACGAACTAACATTGTTATTGTTTTATAGAAATAGCAGGACCTTCTGTGAGTTTCTCAGAAGTATTTCAAAAATCACTCCTTTCATTCAATTTAACTTTGTATTTGGCATGTAAACGGGTTAACTAATTATGTTGATGTTTATAATGACTTTTAAAGTATGGTGTGTTTTCGTCCTAATTTAGGTAGTAAGCATATGTAAGTCTTTGTCGTTGATTTTAAATATTGCTACCTATTGATATTGTTGATAATATCCAACTTTTTACTTGTGTCGTGGTAAAAGCAGTATACAGAAATGTTAAAAATGAAACGATACTATTTAAAAGTTGTCATAATAATCATATTACTTTAGAAAATATTAAATATTCTTATTTAATATGAATAGATTTTGAAAAAAAAAACTAAACTACAAAAAGTTAGATCTCATTTGTGGGTGACTTGGAATTTTAAATGAGTTCATGAATTAAACCTCTACAACTTGATGTTTTTGGGTCAAATAAGATATTTTAAAGCTTTTTAGTTTAACGTCTATATATATTAAAGTATTGAATATTATCAGAGGTCTAGAATGAAAGTGAGACAATCCATTTGTAGATGGAAATGTATCGATCTATTTTTCAACCGAAACTTTTAGTGTCATTTTTGCTTATTTGCTTCCTCTTGTATTTAAACAGCTAAACCTGATTATATCACACTGGTTCCAGAAGAAAATGCAAATGTATCAACGGAATCTGTAAAAAATGAGGTTAGCATGTTTCGGAATAGTACACATTTTAATCATTAACTCAACTGAAAAGAATCCAAGTCTGCTATTCCCAATTTGTTTGTATTCTTTTATGTGATGGGAATTGTAGACAACCGAGTGATCAAGCTGTTGATTGTTGTAGCTATATATGTATAAAATCCACCTGGAGGCCCTCTGGGACTACTGCCGTTCCCAAGCCCGGATAAAAGAGGAGGGTTTGGCGACCCGATCTCATGGAAGACCAACTGACTAAAAAACGTTAACCAAAAAAAATAATTCAAACCATTTCAGCTTTTCCCTGGGAGTTAGGAGGCATTCATTTACAAGAGTTATGACGTCTCGTGGCCTCGCCGATGTAAGTATAGCATTGACTCCTAGGGCAGAACTAGCTCTCCTAAACTGGATTTCAGTAGATAGTCGCTTGTGCGCTGTCCGACTAAATGAGACAGTAAGGAATCAGAAAGATAAGGGCACGACGTTACCGCTTGGTCGTATCTGCCTACGCTCCCACTGACTGCAGCTCAGACGAGGTAAAAGATGAGTTTTACAGAAAGCTTTTGGACCTCCTTCAAAAAGTTAGGCGCTCTGTAATAATAATGGCTTGTGTTTTTAATGCTCAAGTAGATAGACTATGTGAGGAGAAAAGACATCTGGCTGGCTCTAACGGTGTCGCGTCTGATCGAACAGATAATGGCGACCATCTGCTGCAGTTATGCTTAGATATCTGCCTATTTCTAGCAAATACTAACTTTAACATGGCAACCCCCAAAGTCGTCTCAACACTGGACCCAACTAGATCACATTGCCATCAGCCACCAAAAGAAGGGTTCGATAGAAAACTGTCGCTCATTCTGGGGCACATGTTTAGATTCAGATCATGCACTAGCGTGAGAACGTATTTGTTTGCGGCTTCCTGGGTGTAAGAAAGACATCGCAAGGAAACCTGTTAGGGTTCTACTTAATGACAGCATAGCTAAGAATATACTTCATTAGCAACTAGAAGGTAGCGATGATAGGTAACAGTAGACAACTGTTCAGACTTATCAAGGAAACTGGTACTAGGAATTTATCTTTTAGAGAAACTATCTCAGAAAAGGATGGTCCTATCATTCAATTTTAGCCACACTTTGGTTTCCAACGATCTTCAGTCAACCTGAATGGCAAATTGATTTACTTCCTCCGACTCTTAACAAAGTTGAAAAAGCCATAGCAAATCTGAAGCTAGAGAGAGCAGCAGAGCCTGACACCCTTACCCTGGGATTTTTACGGATGGTTGTCCAGTTTTTAGCAGTTAGATTGGCCGAGATCTTACGAACGATCTGGGAACTGGACGCATTCCCATCTGACTGGTCTTAATCAATATATAAGAAAGGACAAGTCTTCTCGTGACAATTACAGAGGAATCAGTTTAACTGGTACTGTATCTAAATTATTGGCCTCAATAATTCTCCAACGTCTAACTAGATCTCGTGAAGAGCAGGCTCGTCTTCGACCTGGACGTGGATGTATAGACCACATTTTCACACTACGTCCGGCCCTAGACAACAGACACACATTCAGGCGTCCAACAATTGTTGTCTTCCTGGACCTTAAAGCAACATTTGACCCCGTCAGTCGTAAGGTTCTATGGCAGTGCCCGTCATTAAAAGGTGTACCAGAAAAGTACATTAACCTTATACAGGCTCTCTACTCGAGCATCACTGGTCGAGTTAGAGCTTATGGCGAACTGTCGTTGGAATTAGTTACTTTAAGTGGTTCCGTCAGGGCTGTCCACTTTCTTCATTCCTGTTTAAATTTGTCGTAGATATGCTTTTAGATTTAACATTATCGTCGTCTGACTGTTCCGGTGTGAATCTTTTTACCAGTAGACACGCTTGCTGACTTAGAATATGCTGATGACATAGTCCTATTCGGTGAAGACGCTGACAGAACGCAGAGTCTTCTGACCGCCTTGAGGAACAGTGCAAGCATGTTCCGGATGCGGTTCTCACCCTCGAAATGCAAAATGTTGTTTCAAGATTGGCTTGCATCGGTACGGTACCTGAACTACTGATAGGAAGTGAAGCAGTTGAGGGTGTAAACAGCTTCACTTATCTCGGGAGTTTCGTCAGCGCTGCTCTATAGGCTCTTGACAACTTGCGTCACTTATGGCGTAGACGAGATATCCGTTCGCTAACCAAAGGACGAGTCTAGTGCACATTAGTTCGCTCTGTCCTACTTTATGGATGCGAAACATGGCCGTTAAGAGTAGAAGATATTCGTAGGTTATTGGTTTCCGATCATAGGTGTCTTCAAAACATTGCTCGTATATCCTGCAAATAATAAAAGACAAAAACTGACCATATTATATATCAAGATTTACCAAAACGTTTTTGGTTATTCGGCTAATTTTTTAATTTTTTTGGATTACCAATGTGTGTTATTTTTCTTTGAAGAATTTGTTTGAATTGATGAATTACTTATCAGTAATATTTTCTTATTTGTTTTTGTCTGAAGACTTCCACACCTGCACTAGATAATAGTTGGGATATAGTTGGTGAGAACTTGTTATTAACCATTACCGAAGAGGTAGGTCTGTTTTACCTACTCAATATTTTTTCAAATAATACTATAAGTACAAAGACTTGTAGTTGATATATGAGTCTTAATAAATTTTAATAAAATATTTTAACCCAGTTAAGAAATATGATGTGTTGTCCTATTCTTGTGTCAGCTTTGTTTTAACTGATTGTCATTTCTGTTAGTTGCATAAATAAATATTTTTCTTGATTTAATTGATCCATAATCTAAAAAATATTTCTAATTTTCATCGTTTCATATTCAACACTGGCTTTTCTAAGTACTATCTTTTTTTTAAATTAGTTATATGAAACATCATTACATACACTGAAATCATCTTTCAATGCTATGTATACGTTTGCTGCATTCTACGTTAATTGATTAGTGATTTTATTGATTGTCCTTTGTTTTCAGCTTTCTCTGCTTGGTATAATTTTGTGTAATAAACCTTTAGTTATGTATTTTTTATCTTTTGGTTAGTGATAAGTTCCGACTTCTCGGGCTTAAACAATTGAAACTAAACCGTGTAACTTTGAGCTGAAAAGTCGTTTACATTCTTCAATTTCACACTATTTATTATTTCTGATATTATTCATGTTAGAAAATCAATTTGGACAGCAGTGTTGTATGGGTTGTGATCGCTCTATAATCCTAAACAAACTATTTAAAACGTATTACTTTTGAGTAATCAATTATCTGCTGGTGGATGTGCAGTTCAGTACTGTTTCTCAATATCTCATCATAGAAATATGAGTCTTAATGGTAATAAGGAACTAAATATTAATTATAACACTGGATCTGCATAACAACAACCTAACCCTATTTCTGATGAATATTCATCCTTTCAAGACTTAAGTGATTTTCTACAAAAGAAGAACTTCGAAAATAAAACATGAAATTAATACGTTTACGACAAATTCATTACTTCTAGTGCTTTTAATTACTAGTCTGTAAGCACTAAATATAACATGTCACAGTGTAGTGAATGAGAACACAGGTGGAGGCAACCGAATTGTATTTAACGAAAATTACAGAGTTACTCAGTAAAATCGGAAAACCATATCGTAAATCGTTCATTTGCAAAAGATCAGTTCATCCTATGGAACTGGACTGTTCCTGTTGCCAAACATCAATCCATTGTCACTCTTCATGCGTTTCATACAAATTCCATTGTTTTCTGACTCTTCCTTTCTTGATCTTCCCCCCATATTATGCTACCAGACATTACGTTGACACTCACGCTATATACTATTTATAAGTAGTTCGCACCACAGCACCACAACAGTACTGAATGTAATGATGATTATATGTTAAGTTTTTCTGAAATGTTTTCTACATCAGTCATAATGTATTCGAAATTCGTTACTTTATTAATATTATTCAATTAGTGTCATCACATACTGCTACTCTTGAATCACATTAATTACTGTGCTTCCCTTATTCTTAACCGGTCGCTATGGTTTGCTATATTTTACGGCTAACTTCGTTGTGTCATATTTCCTTCTCTTGTCCATTTTTCCGTCGTTATGATTAGGTTTTCCACTTATCAGCTCTAGACCTCCTCTCTACTTTTGTGTTTGCTTCTATGTATTCAGCCTTTTTCTATGGAATGGGATTGTTAACCTTATACCCTACCCTCCGCCTTTATCCGGGCAGGGGGACCAGCAGTAATTTTAGAAGGGCTTCATGGAGAATCGGGTTTTTGTATGGAATAACATAAACTCACTTTTACACATAATTCATACCAACTCCTTGTTTATGGCTAAATGGATATGATATAAAGTGTAAATTTGGGTAGAGCCCATTCTATATACCACTGAGATGCATTGTTAAATCTCTGCTTCATTAGTTTGCGCGACCAAAAGAAATACGTACCGCCGATAATCTGGAAGAAATATGATCAGGCTTAGACAGATGCCCAAATACATGGCAGTTATACAAAGACTTTCATTAATAAATGTTGGAGAAGTGAAAGCAAGTGTATTAAAAACCTGAAATTACTAAGAAATTAATCTTTGTTTAACCCTATGTCGAAAGTTATCATGTTACAAAGACGATCACTGGGAAAGATCGAACGTATTCTGAAATTAATATGTTTGTTAAAGCCATCATCAACGAAGTGATATTACATTCATGCTATCACAGAAAATGTGTATCGATTGAAGTTAATTTGTCAGAGTATTGCACACTTGCCTGTGACTTTACATTTCGAAAGAATGAATTTACTGGATAGTGTGAGTTTTTAGTCTGTAATCGATACTGGAGGCTTGATAAGCACTAGAAAATCTTTCAAGATTTTTAACAAAACGAAATGGTTCATGTCATTTTCTCTGTTTAAAGTCATAATTATCGAATGTTTAAAAAAAGTCTATTTTAAACTCTATTATCTTTTGTGACGATTTTGTAGTTGTTCTCATTAAATATGTGTTATTTATAAATTGCAACATCTTCATCAGTCCTGGCCTTCCACCAGATTCTTATGATTCTGGTCACACAGCATACTGTGCCCACCAAAGACAATGGATGAGGTCGCGCAATATTAGGTTATGATTGAAATTAGACATTAACACCGTAGGTTGCCAGTACGATACGGTGTTGCCATTCATAACTCAATGGCTTAAAACTAATCAGTCATTCAATCAGTGAGCTGTTTTTTTGCAGTTACCTAAACAAATCTACTTGAATGTTTTCCTTTTGATTCTATGTTGGTATTATTTTTCGTCGGTTGAAAACAAATTTTAGGATGTTTCCCGATTGGTTGATATATTCCCGGGAGCACGTAAATTTGATTATCAAAATGGAGAAAACTCTGTGTTCTTTGGACGTTGTAAACGTTGTTTCAATCATTTGAAACCGAGTATGTGTCTATTATTATTATTATTATTATTATTATTATTATTATTGATTCACTACTCAGTAAATCATTTACTTTGTTCAGTTGTTACTTTTATGTCAATACTACTATTATTATTTATTGTACTAAAGTTGAGAACCATTCACAGCAGGTATCGTAAAATTATTATAATCAATAGTTATTTTATTCCATAGTTTGTATTAAGGATTGATTTCGAATATTCATTAAAAACCGAGGAACGGTGAACTACTGATTTATACTAATATGGAACTTGTCAGCAATGTATCGAAGATCCCCTACTAAGAATCAACTATAGAACTTTCATTTAACTTCCACTTTTTTCGATGCTCCTGTATGATAGTCATAATTTATCAGATTTTGTACAATTTGTCATCGACCAGGTTATCTTATTAAACTGATATATTTTCCAATTCGATGCAAGTAGTTGAAATTTTTTTTATCTTTTCCAAATTATAGGCATTAATTCGCTTAAAATTTGTACCAGTCATTACGTTTTAACGTATAACGATGAATATATATATATATATATACTTACGCCTGTTACTCCCAATGGAGCATATGCCGCACACCAGTATTCTCCAACCAACTCTGTCCTGGGCTTCCCTCTCCAGATCTGTCCAATGTTTGTTCATTCCTCTCATATCTTTCTCTATTTCTCGGCGTAATGTATTCTTTGGCCTTCCTGTTTTCCTTTTGCCTTGAGGATTCCATGTGAGGGCTTGTCTCGTGACGCAGTTAGGTGCTTTTCGTAGTGTGTGTCCTATCCACTTCCACCGCTTCTTCCTGATTTCCTCCTCCACTGAAATCTGGTTTGTTCTCTCCCACAGTACGTTTTTGCTGATCGTGTCCGGCCAACGAATCCGAAGTATTTTGCGTAGACAACTGTTAATAAACGCTTGTATCTTCTGGATGATGGCTTTGGTAGTTCTCCAAGTTTCCGCTCCATACCGTAGAACTGTCTTCACATTTGTATTGAAAATTCTGATTTTGGTTTTGATTGAAAGTTGTTTGGAGTTCCAGATATTTTTCGATTGTAGAAATTCAGCCTTTACTTTGCCGATCCGAGCCCTCACATCTGCATCCGATCCACCTTTCTCGTCGATGATGCTGTCCAGATATGTAAAGGTGTTAATGTCCTCCAAGGCATCTCCATCAGGAGTGATTTGGTTGGCGCATGTTGTGTTGTATCGTAGAATCTTGCTTTTCCTTTTGCGCGTATTTAGACCTGCTGCTGCTGGGGCTGCTGATACAATGGTCGTCTTCTCGCGCATTTGTTGTTGCATGTGCGATAGAAGAGCCAGATCATCTGCGAAGTCCAGATCGTCCAGCTGCGTCCTAACTGTCCAGTTGATACCGTGCTTCCCTCCAGACGTTGACGTCTTCATAATACAGTCGATCACCAGGAGAAAGAGAAAGGGTGAGAGTAAGCAACCTTGCCTGACACCGGTCTTCACCTCGAAAGAGTCTGTCAGCTGACCTCCGTGTACGATTTTGCAGTTGAATCCATCATAAGAATTCCGTATGATGTTAACTATTTTCTCAGGCACACTGTAGTGTCGAAGAAGCCTCCATAGTGTTTTCCTATCCACGCTATCAAATGCTTTCTCGTAGTCAATGAAGTTGATGTAGAGTGGTGAGTTCCATTCAATTGATTGTTCCACAATGATCCGTAATGTAGCAATTTGGTCAGTACACGATCGATCCTTACGAAATCCGGCCTGTTGATCTCGAAGTTAGGCGTCTACGAAGTCCTTCATTCTGTTTAACAATACTCTGTTGAAGACTTTGCCTGGTATTGAAAGAAGAGTGATGCCCTTGTAGTTCAGGAGTTCCTTAAAGTTCTCTACCCACCTATTTCTCAGTTCTTCAGTGTTGCTGATTATTTTCCCTTCCTTGCTTTTCACTGGTCGTTCTGGTTTGCGATAGTTTCCGGCCAGCTTCTTTGTTGTTTCGTACAATTGTCTCATGTTTCCGTCTCTTGCAGCCTTTTCCGCCGTCATTGCTAGATCTTCCACATATTTTCGTTTGTCAGCTCTGATGCTCTTCTTCAATTGCCTGTTTTCTTCTGTGTATTCAGCTTGTGACTTGACGTTCTCTGCTGTTGTTCGGCTGACATTGATTTCTGCCTTCTTGTTCCTCCTTTCTTCAATTTTTTCAAGAGTACCAACAGAGATCCGATCCTTGTGATGGTACTTCTTGTAACCCAGAACTTCGTGACATGTTGAAGTGATTGCCTCCTTAATCCCTTTCCAATTGTTCTCCAATGTTGCTTCCTCTCCATTGAGTAGATCCTGAAAGGCCTGGAACCTATTGTTGAGGGCTATCTTGAATTCGTTGAGTTTTACGGTATCCCGAAGAAAGGCTGTATTAAACTTCTATGATGTTGTCTTCCCCGTTCTCCAGTGCTTCTTTAGTTTCAGTTTCATTTTGGCGACCAGCAAATGGTGATCTGAAGCTATATCAGCTCCTCTCTTGACGTTCATTGTAATGTCCGCTTTCTTTGTTTTGAAGGATGCTTTAATGATCCTCGGTCCATGAGATTCCCATCCTATCAGTGCCTTTTGTGCATGTTTGGACAGCAACAGTGCAACTCCTTGTGTATGTGGAGCATTTTCCTCTTCATGACCAGAGTATAACAGCAGTTCCCCTGAAGCAAGACCAACTTAACAATTTTTTCACAGTAGCCGTTATTCATAAATTTGTTACTTCAATCCTCCTAAAAAATTTCACCTTTCAAAACATGTAAGATCTCAACTTACAGTCTTAGTCTCATGTAGTTCTTCACTATTTCACGGATTGTTAAATAGGCAGTAGTTTACCTCTAAAACTTCATGATATCATTGTTGAATTGTTGCTGTTTTTTTCTTGCAGCAAACTACGAATCAAATTTGATTGTTGCATTAAAAATTCCATTGTCTTTATCAAATCATCTGAAATTGAATTTTTTTTCTTTTCATTTTCTCTTTTTATCTTAAAATTAATGTATACAAAAATGTTTTAGGTCATGCATTCCTGGATTATTATGATGCTCGCTTTTATTGTATTGATTGTCATCAATTACAACAGGCTATGATTCCTCGTCATATTATAATGAGTTGGGATTTTTCACTGAAACCAGGTATACTACTATTCTAATTCAATTATCAATAAAAATTAATCTTATCCACATTGTAAGACTTCTTATTATACATTTTTCCGGTTGTCAATAATGCGAAGAGAATTTGATCAGTTTTTAGTTTCGATTCGTTTCGACTCCTGTTGAATAGATTAGTGACTAACATGAACTAACTAGTCGACATCTGTTGAATACTTCAAAACAACAGGTTCTGTGTTCGAGTTTCAATATTGAGAATCAACACTTAGATGTAGGCGTATTTAGTTAATTATTAGTTTGAAAAAAAATGCGAAAGCTTCATCTTCGATTTTACCGCTAAACAATATTTCAGTGATTAATTTATCTTTGCCATTATGAAATAATCAATTTAAAACATTAATTAGTTGACTAAGAAAATCGGGCTGACAACTTGATCATGGAATTACTGCGAATTTGATTGGATCTATAAATGTTAGGCGATGCAAATTGTTATTTTTATGTACAAAATATTCAATTCAACTAGTACAGCGCCAAAAAATCAAACTTTGAGCATTTTAGATTTTGTTGTGGCTATAATACTCTGTTGTCTGTATTTTTACATTTGGTCAGTTTGCATTTTATTGCAATCTTCATTTAATATCATCACTAGTGGATAGCTGCCCTCATTCCCAACTTAATTAACTGCTTAAAAATCACAGCTCTTATCATCACTTCAGTAAACCGATCTACGAATGAGATAAATGTCACCAATTTAAAAGTGAAGTAAACGTCACCATGATGTTCATATCTAATCTGACACGGATATATCATTGAAAGTACGAGAACAATTGATTATCACTAATTTCCCTAACTTTGTACAGATATTCTTAGCCTAATGGTACATGTTAGTGCAACAAAATTATCATATCTGTGTAGAATGGAATTTTCAGTTAATTTACTTTGAATCTTAAAGATTTCCTTTTTTTTGTGGAATGTTTCCCCTTAATTGTTTATTTCTTGTCCTTATTTATTTATTTATTTTTTTTCTGCATTGCAGTTTCTCAAATTACACATCAATTTCTTAGTGCATTACATAATAGACCAGTGATAAATTTAGCTAAATTAAATCCTATGCTTTATGTGACTATACCGAATTTATATTTAATTAGACAACTTCGACGTACTCTAGTATTATTATGGCATCAAATAATGAATTGTGATGGTAAGACAATTGAAAAACTACATGAACGTTTTCATGGTCGAATGTATATGCTACAAAATATTAATGCTATTGATGTTTATTCAATTGAGGTGAGTTATTTTTTTGGTTTATATCAGATTAGATTGTCGCATTTTTCTTTTTCTCTATAAAAAATGTAATAAAATGAAAATGTTTCTGTCATGAGTTTCTTTTTCTATTAAAATTTCATTCAAAACAGAATAGAATTAATTGTAGATTGAAGATGGACTTAATTAAAGTGCTGAATTCGTATGGTTTTGAATCCCAAAAATTGAAAGACTTTTTTTACATCGTTTAAGATCGGTTGGAAAAATGTTTTTGTTTTTGTCATCATCAATTAAAAGTGACAGGATTAAAAATACGCTGAGTACGCTTAATTTTGTCTTGTGAATATTATGCTTAACATATAAATCATTTAAGTTTTTCGGTTTAATCTACTGTACACATGATCGCTTCCTAAACAAATCTATTTTTTTTAATCAGTATTCTAACGAATAATAGACAAGTTGGTTAGGCAGGATTGTAAAAGGAGATAACAATTTCTACGAGTTACATCTTTGTATTGTTTTATATTTTCATTTCGCTTAATCTTCAACGAATTTGTCAATAAACATTTTGTAAATAATAATAAATTTCCTGTAAAACTATTTATAGCTCTATGCAAAAGATCTAAACAGAACGCTTTGTTACATTTATATCAATGAGATTATGCAACAATATTGCTCTATTATCAAGATTATCAACTGATAATAAGCCTTGAGAAGTTGATAAGCTGCCAAAAAAACACCATACCATTCATTAAGTGAAATAAATCATATTGAAAGTAACTAACTAACTGCCTTGTGATTGACTGAAAGAGTTTTCAGAATTTTCATAAAGCTATTTTAATCCTTCTATTGGCCTTGGTCTATAATAGAGTAGAGTAGAGTTACACTATGAATGAAATAAATATTTTCAATTTTTATTATATCAACAGAAATAGTTCAATGATCATGAAATGATAAGAAAAAGAATATTTATATAATTAACTTTATATTCTCACCTCATTTAAGTTGGTTTTTTCAATTATTTGGCAGTATTGTTTAATGATAATCAATCAAAGTGGAAACTCCATTTACGGTTTACATTTTTATAGAAAACTATTTGTATGAAATAGATATGTGTGCCTAATTGATCAGAATCGATTAAAAAAAACATACAAGCGTTCTGTTTTGTTTACTCAAGTTGTATGATTATTCTGAAGAACTATTTTTTTTTCTTACAATATGTAATATAAGATTTTTTGTATTTGTTCGACAGAATTCATTTATTAACATATATATATATATATATATATATATATATATATATATATATATATACAGATTAACATGCTGTGTAAATATATACCTTCAGGCAGCAATGTATGAAACTCTTAACAGTAACAATCATTAATTATGAATACAGAATAACGTAGTTATATTGGAATAAAAGATTTTATTTTCAGACAGAGTTTTGGAGGTTTGTATTTTTACACATTTGAAATCATCAATCAATCATTGTTAGACTATCATTAGAAACCTGGAAGCACTGGACGGCCGTTTCGTCCTGGTAGGGGACTCATCAGCAGTGCGCATTCACGACTCCTGCACGTCACACGATTCGAACCCGGAACCTTCGGTATTGTGCGCGAACGCCTAACCATCAGACCACTAGGCCGGCATCCAACGGTGTTAATGTCTAACTCTGATTGATCTACGGATTTTTGCGCGACCTCACCCATTTGTACTAAATAATAAATCAGTGTCACACAAGACTTATTATCTTATCCTTTAATAGTAGCTCTTCTGTAACGATGTTTTATTATTTCCAAATTATTTTGGTCAAGTTTGTTCCCTCCCTTCTCATGTCAGCATCAATAATTTGAATGGTACAGATACTGTTATAATAACTGATAAACTGTGACATCATCTTCTTCTTATTATTATTATTGGATCGTAGACTATCCAATTTCACTAATCAATTATCATTCTCGTAATTAAAAACTGAATGTGTCAGTATTTTTTTCCAAACATTCTAATGAAGATTACTTGATTACAACTTATACTTGACCGGCTGTGTAATGAATGAACACAATATGTAAATTATCCATATGTAAATTGCACCACTAGTATAAGTGTTTTTAGAGATTATTGAATCGCTCAGTTTACAACACAAACTGCGTTTGATTAGACAATCATTTCAAACCATGAAATGCTGGAAAACTTGTTTTGTCGTAGCATAAAATTTAACAGCAATACGCATTCAGGACCTCGTTGGAGATCTAATCCAAGACTTTCAGGTCTCACACTGTGATAGGACAGTTGTACATTGCTTCCTGATTTACAACACTTGTTTAACTGAACTTAATTCATCGTATACTTTGTACACTCATACACTTACTGGATTATTTAAACAACACTTTTGGTACAATTTGTTATTGTATATTTATCTTTTAGGATTTAATACTTGTACAGTCTTCAAAATTAGAAGAATTACTTAAAAACACTATTGAAAATGTTGCTTTAGCACATGTTCGTAAATGTCGAGTATGTAGACGAAGAGCATTAATCTGTGATTTTTGTGGTGAACTCAATAAACCAATATGGACATATGACTTCACTACTTATAAACGAGTAAGCAAGCTTGCATTGAATGAAATCATTTCTTTGTCAGTTGTTGTTATTTCAGTTCTGTTATTTTGTTTAACAAATTCATTGAATGATTTATAGTTTTTCCTCATCGAAATGTGTTGTAATTAGTTGTTCATATTTTAAAATCTAACACCAAGTAAAATAATACTGTTCTCCAATTGTAGATATCTTGACAATAGTGTTCTGTTCTTTAGGTTTAATGATTTTCAACAAATAGTTTTGCATGTCTATTTAACAACTATCACCTGTTTAATAATTCCATTTACAAAGTGATTTGAAAATAATTGTGTTTTGTGGGAAATAACTCTTAGCTCAGGAACTAAAGTCATGAAATGATTATATTTGGCACAGAGTAATAATATGATATCTAGATAATGTTTCTTAATTGTTCTACTAGAAGTCTGATGGCAGCTCGTGCAATTTAATACAATTTATTTATAGAATTGTTACGCCTGCACGTAAACACGTCAACTTGATATACTTGAACTATTACGAGTTTACCTAGTCGGAAAACGAAAGCGAGGATCGAGGATCCAATGCTACAACATACTACTCAAATCCAATTATCCCAGCCCCCCCCATAATAAGTAAAAATAAGAAAACTTGATATGAAGTAGAACATGTATTCTACAAGCATCCAGAAAGTACGAGGTTCGAATCCAGAAGAGAATCAGGATCCCGGACTGGGGATCCGGGAGCGAGCCCTGGTTGTGATCATAAAACGTTACAAATGATGCGTATTTATACATTTTGGTCGAATAGGAAACAGCATCGAAGTCTGTGACATTGACAGCTAAGACGACCAACAGGAAGCAACATTTGAAGTGACACTGATGGTCAGGACAACCAATAAGAAACAACATTGAAGTATTTGACTTTGACAGTTATAACGACCATAAAATTGACCAATAGGAATTAACCAATAGGAATTGATCAATACTTCTCTTAGGATATTGGATGAATATCCTAACAAGAATACATGTTTAGTTGCTTGATTTTCAGTCACACTAAGTGTCAGCTACTGATACTTTCCCTTCAATTCACATTCGTTTTCTTATAACTTCTCTCAAATAATTACTTGTTGAAGTGTTTGTATGGTACCAAATTATTTGGTTTTTAACTGTCTTGTCTCTAAAGCTTTCCCTCCTCTACCTGTCACTTTAATGAAGGCAACCATATAATACCACCGTAGCAGTAGACTTCAACATTCACAAGAGAAAAAACAAGATTTTAAAATACAATACAACAAGCAGCAATCAAATCACACTTAATGGTGAAGCTCTGAAAAAAGTGAAAGCTTTTACACGCCTGAACAATGCCATCGATAATTAAGGAGCTTTTGATGCAGATTCGGTTCTGTTATACAGAGCTGAAACTTAGAGTACTACCACAACTATCAAAAAATTACTGTTACATATAAACTACTGCCTATACAAGATACTCAGATCCACTCGCCAGAGACCATCAGCAGTAATTTATTGTGGCATAGAACAAACCAGCTTACGACTGAGGGGAGGGGATTAGGAAAAGATGTTAAAGGTGGATAAAACATACCTCACGCAAATCAACAAACTGCACCACAAACCAAATGTTTAGTTGGAATCCTCAAAGCAAATAGGCAAAGTTGCAGACTAAACAAGGGATTCAGCATTAATTTAAAGACATACATCAAAGCATGAGTAGCACTTGGCAGAAGTGGAAAGGGAGAGGTCAGGACAGGGTTGATTGGAAATCTTTGACCTAAGCTCCATGATAGGTAACCCCGTAAGTAATACTTCACTATACCTCCATTCGAAAACGCAGAAATATTTTTCATCATGGAGTTGTGAATATTGCTGAGTTACATTGAAATCGTGAATCGATGATTATCAGACCACCATTAAAAACGTGGAAGCACGGGACCACCGTATGAGAATCATCACCGTTGTGTACCGGCCGAGTAGTCTAGAAGCTTAACATTCGCGCGCGATACCGAAGGTCTGGAGTTCGATTCCCATGAGCGGAGATCACGGATGCCCACTGCTGATGAATCCCACACTGGTGGTTTAACCAATCATCGATTTGTAATTTCAAAGAAAATTGTTTGGCATAACCGCAAAACGAATATAATTGTTTATTGTATGTAATTATTTATATTTCTTGTTATGTCTACTAATAACCTATTTATTCTCTTGACTTTATATTCCAGTGTATCAATCCAGGCTGTTCAAAAGTAATGCACATTGAATGTTTAATGATGGCTGATAAAAAAGATTTAATGTCTACCATAGATTGTTTTATTCAATATCAATCCACTACAACCTCATTGAATGATTATTCTCAATTACGATTTTCTAATGTACAATGTAGAAGTTGTAAAGAGTTAAGTAAATTATTTTCTAAAAATAATCAACCTATTGGACATTATGCTGATCCATTTTACATACCTGTAACGCAGTCATAAAATCTATTTTATACATAGAAAACGTTTGTGTGTAAATGTCAATGAGTAGTGATCGATTGTTCTTTATTTTCGTTTTTTCTTCATTGTGAGATGATTATTCTGTACTAATTTTTGTACTAATTTCTATTTTTTATCTGTCACATTTTGTATACTTGTTTAATAGTATTTATCATAAAAAAAAAGCAATATCTTGTCGTATAACTTGTGTTTTTTTTTATTTTTTCAGAAAACAATCTGTGATTTGTAAAGTCAATATATTTTGGTTCACAAAACCTTTTTTTTATTTATTTATTAGTGAAAAGTGAAATAAGAAGGAAACTGTTTTTTGAATCTGTTTGATATCGTCATCGAAATGTATTTTCAAACAATTTATTAGATTGCCTTATTTTCTACACACACACACACACACACAAAAGCTCCTTCTCATGGGTGATTTTGATTTTTTTTTATAAATGGTAAAACATTATTCTATTTAGGAAGCATAATGTTGTGACCTGTACAAACAACGCCATCGTCATCGAGTGCAAACATCTATCTGATAATTACAAAGAAGTTCAGTTTTTTTTTATTGACAGAATAAACATTGTATATTATGTACTACTTAATTTCTGCCCTCCCAACTGTCCTAACTGAATACAGTGTTGTTTCGTGTTTCACTTAGAAATTGAACTCGACTTTATTTCAAACAGATTTTTTCTGGCAAACTCATACTTTTTTATTATTAAACTTGAAAAAAAACTGCAAAAACCATTTAAACAAAACTTTTGTTTAGTTGTTTGAAGTTGCTCACCACTTTTTACTATGAGAGTAAATTTTGTCAGGAGTTAATTTAAACACGTTTCATTACAAGTATATCTAAGATATAAATGACATTAAATATTGTCTGGAAAATTAAGTTACAGCAATTGATCTAGAATAAATTTCTTTTTGGGACATCGATAAGAATAATATCAATAGATTTTGAAGGCTAGAATTGTATGGTTATGTAATATTCATTAACTTGTATTTATCTAAAATATCGCATAACGACTATACTGTTAAACAATGTTCCAAAGCCTTCGGTTGCATATAATACTCCGCAGGAGCATTTTACATGTTCACTGCCTTAGAAAAATATTACTTTAGTCAGAGATGAGTAGTTTTATGTTATATTCCTTTGAGTTATTTTCGATATTTTTGAAGGCATTTTAGAAATTACTTAGTTATGAATCTGTCAATCAATTTAGTGTAGATTCAAGACGATGAAACAAACCCACTGTAGAAGTGGATTTGGGTTTTTATGAAGAGATGTGTAGAATTTAGAGATAGTTTTTGTTATGTGCTAAAACCAGCTTTGGAACTATTGGGGATCGAAGAACTCTAGACAATGGCTTTATCCATTTCGATCAATCAGTTACTAACATGAAAAAGAATCTAGAACCTTCAGCTGCTGTGATGAGCGTGGTGTCTTTAAAGCGACTGGCGAGAATCTATAGATTTATTTTTCCGACTATAGTCGAGTTATGATTCATTTCCTTTTATTTATTACCAAACATTACCACCCTCTTAAGAAATAGACTTTTCGAACTGTTTTGCAATTTATGATCTGAATATCTCAACATTTTAGTAATATTCTAATAGGCACATTTTACAGACATTAAATTCATTAATTTATTACCTGATATCTTTATTTAAATATGCTCATCTATTATTGTTTCAGTAACACTAATAATTGGATCTGCATGTTATTATATTTAAGCTATGGTCAACCATGAAATATAGAACATATAATAGGAAGGCTATACCTAGGTAATTCATTCAGTATGCCGTGATGTCAATGAAAAGCAGATCAATTACATTCCTGAATTTCGATGACAGGAAGATTACAAGCACTGAAGATTTGTATATTGAGAAAATAATTGGTTTATGATTATTTCATAGTTTTCAAATTCTAAATTTGCAAACCACTATAAATCTAATGGCAAAAGTCAGCCGTTTTGTCATAGTTCATGACTATTTATTGTAGATCAACAACCAAACAGGAGATTAAACATATTCCGTTTCGATCTCCTAATGAGCTTCATAGAAATAGAAATCATCAGTAACACCTTGCATTTTGAGGTTATTCTCCATGTATAATGGTCATTATTTTGTACAGAAACTGGTCAACTACCGTACTCATGCCTTATTTGATTATACTGCCTACTGTTTCCGATCCAAACATTGTAGAGATGATTTGTCGAGATAAAAACGAGATATTGCTTTTAGCTACTCACAAGTAGTGCAATTTGTTAGTATAAAAATTGTAAGTCTTGCAATGAACCGTAGCGAAATAATACTTAAAGCAAGGCGATACTTCTTACACTCTGTACTAAATCATTTTGAAACAAGATTTCCAAATAATGTTCACCTTTTTTAAAGTTCACGGAATACATGTGACGACAAAAAGCTGGTACCTTTATTCCCTCGATGAATACATATGGATACATTTTTCGTTAATAACCAATATCCCTTAGTGAACCACTACAAACCGATGGCCCACGTGAGACAAATCACAATACTAACCTCAATCACTGTCATCGACGAATTACTGCTTCATTTTATCATTCCTCGGTTTATACAATCCAATCATAAAATCGATACTACATTCTTAAATTTAACTACTGATAAACACGATTATTCTCAAAATAAATACCTTGTGTGAATCCGTTCAATTAAAAGATAGTTACATCTCAAAAAATGTTCACTGGTCCGTAAGCTTCGTTGGTTTCCTAACTACTATGGATGAATCTTTAATTATCGACTTCAAAAACACAAACAGTTGGCAGATGAAAAGATAACTGAGTTAGGACAATAAATATTTGTTGGTGCGATAGAATGGATAGCATCACTACTGAATGTGTTAGTGTAAACATGGATACCTACAAATTTAAGTTCTAGTTAAGTGAAGAGAAATAACTGTGGGGAAATATTTGACAGAAATTTTTTAATGACGACTCTAAATTTTATTTTCTTGGATGAAGTACTTTCCTAATTCAGTTCTTATCACTACCCTACTTTCAGCCTTTTTTTTAAAAAAATATTAGCACCAAAACTGACGAACTTTAAGACTAATTTACTTGGCATGAATAAAAATTTTCTCGAACGGAAGGAATTATCGATTTTAACTGAAATACAAACCTGAATTCTATAATCATAGGTTATTGTAACTCATTTGAAATTAGTCCTTAAGTCAGTCAGTTGCCTTCATTGCGTTGATCAGTGTGTAATTTAAAGCTCTTGATGTTTTTACCTCTCAGTCTGTTGATTTGATCTTTATTCCATTTACTGTAGTTTTTAAAACTCAGTGGTCACATTATGAGAAAGTGACACTAATCCCATCACTTCAGTTCTTGAGTTTTATAAACGTCTTAATGTTAACTCAATGTGTTGGGGATCTAACATCCCTAAAACTCGCTTGATAAACGCCTTAATTTGGATTTTATGTTTGCGAGCATGGGCTGATCAGTTGACCTTAAGGTCATATTTCCCACCAGGAAAATCCATTGCTGTGATTGACTGCTGTGTATTTTAGTGTGCTATTTTCGTAACTGTCCCAAGAACGTTTCTACGATGTATAAATAAACGAGAGTTGTGTGCTTGATTGTATTGTGATTGCTGGGTGTTTGTAGAATATACTTTCTACGCTACGAAGCCTTCTGTTTACAGCTTGTGATTCAAGATAGCCTATCTGGACTCTGGTAACTGTCTCGTTCGCGTTTATCGACTAAGGTGAACTCGTAATAGCTTCAAGCGTACCTAGTGACGAACATATCACAATGTTGACAAAATCATTAGAGAATTGACAAAATTTGTAATGAAGAGTTTGTTTTACCAAAATTGTTTTCATGCATAAATTATTTGTGATTATATCATTTAGATGAGTCAGATGTCTCGGTGTAGAAAATTTCAAGAAAAATCATGATTATGACTTCACTAAATAAAAAAAGCATTACAACCGAAAAACTTTTCTCCTACTTTAATTTCAAGGATAAAAGAAATGGAAATTTTAGCTCATCTATTGTTTCAACTAGTTAAACAATTTAAAACCGAAATAAATGGCTTTTCAGATAATTTTTTTCGATAATTGGTACCTGAGAAATTATCTTCTAAAAACTATTGATTTCTTCTAAATTTGAAAGTAAGTCACTAATTACTACACTAGAATATCCTAGTGTCATATATTATCAAAGTCGTAGGTGCGCACAACTCAGATATTCCAGAATGAAACAGTCATTCAACGTTACTTTGTGTTCGACAGTTGAATAATTTAAGAGGACTGGTGTAATATATCTTCAAATAAATTCTAAAATATTGTGTTTACTGATCTCCTTTAACTTGGAAATTTTCTGGAGATACTTATCAATACAACAGGTCATAAGCATGATGAAACCTCTCTTCTCAATTCCCATACTCGGCTTGTCATGCTAGTAGTAATGGTAAGTTCATGATTTCCCTCATCCAATGTGGACTTGTATATTTGACTCTTTTAAAAAAAATTCCCTGTCTTAGCTCCCCCATTGTAATGTTCAAACCAAAGCAGTTGTTGTAGGCTGAAACTCAAATGGTTTGATGTTTAAAACCAATCGTTTGGTAGCCTATTACGATTCAATCTTATTTACACATACTGGCTCATAGTATATGATATTGGTTCATAACTATTATTATCAGCTTGTGATTAGGATTCGGTTGTTCGATCAAGAAAGCTTACTGACAATAATCATAAATGGTTGAAATATTACTAAAAACCATGTAATATTAGTATGTGAATCCTATTTATTGTTTAAACTCAACCAAATCTAAAATCCAATTTCTGTATCTAAAATAAGGCGAAAGCAGAAAATGCATACTTTGTTGACGAAAGTGATTCATGCTTGAAAAAATCTTGATTTCTTCAAGATGAAATAAAGTTAAGTGATCGATTAAATGATATTTTATGAATTTGATCCAATTATACAATACTACAACTTACAATTATAATC